TAACTCGACCACTGTGACGGAAATCTTCATCCTCATACAGGAACTGATCAGCCAGAAGGTCCTGCAGAACATAACCCGGTCGCTGCTGCCGGGGATGATCACGAAGGCCATCGTCAGGTCGAAGCTGAGTAACTTCCTCGAGACCCTGAGTCGGGTCGCGGCCAAGAGCTTGGTCAAAGGCTACAACGTCATCGAACAGAAGGACCTGTTGACGCTCATCAAGAAATGCCGGAAGTTGGAGCTGGAGGAGGAGTCTCTGATATCCGCCTTTCTGAACTACACGCACGAGCAAGGGAGCAACGTTCTGAACTGCCCGAGGAACGTCGTCTTCGCCCAGCGCTCGACCATGCAGTACTACGCAGCCAACTTCCTCTGCCGACGCTGTGTTCGGCGCCAGACAGCTCTTCGTGACCTGTTGCGTCTACAGGCCAAGGAAATCGGTGATGCCATCGGGCCCAACCTGCAAGCAATGGTGAAATATTTGCTGGGTTTGCTAGCAGTGCACATGCCGGAGAGGCTGAAGGAGAGAGCGGCTGAAATTGTGTCTTTGTTGAAGGACGCCGGGGTTGACAAGACTTCGCAGTGGCTCCAGTACATCGACGAGGCCAAAGAGGAACCGACGATAACGAGGGAGATATTGAACCAGATGGGCGACGAGTGGAAGGTCGAGGACTTCGCCATCTCGTCAACCCTCGTCCACATCCTGAAGATCAAAGCGCCGCGTCGACTCACCGTCACCGTGTGCGAGTCTGCTGCAAACTTCCCTCACTTGCGGGAAGTCCTCGAGATATGCTCGGAGACTCCCGACCTGACCCTCTCCCTTCATCTGTACCAGCATTTCTGGTCCGAAAAGTCAGAAACCTCAGACGAATACCTGGACATCGTTGTAGGGAAATCCTGTTACCTGGAGCACTTCGCGGGACGTCTGAGCGCCGAGGCTCTGCTGCGCCTCCCAGCCTCCCTCCAACGCCTGGCGCTTCACGTGACTCCGGACATGATCCCGCCCCTTAACCAAACCCTCGAAAGGATGTCAGACTTGGGTTTGCTCTACTTGAACCTCGACGCCTCCCCTGAAACGCCACCTAGCGAAATTCAGCCTCTGAGGATCCCCAGCGAGGACACACAACTCGTAGTGGACATGTGGAGGGTGAAAGAGTCAAGTAGCGAGTGGTCTTGCCAAGTAGCACGCGCCCTCAGCACCTCCTACAAGCGACTGGTACTTCGAAGCAGTGAATTGGACTTACAAGGATGTCAGAAATGGTTGGAAGGGCTTCGGCAGCGGGGCGTGAAGGCGTCGGAAATCGTGGTCGGCTCAACGCACGCCATGGCAGACGATGGTATTGAACACTTACAACAAATGGCGGACGGTGTGGAGTGTTCAAAGTTCGTGTGGTTGAAAGTGTAACTGTACTTATCGTGTGTTCTTTGTATATTTCATGTTCGTCCATCGTTTATAGAGGTTTATTGTTATTTTATTTCTCTATCTAGTCTACCATTGCGATTAATGCTTTAATGTTTTTTATATGATTAGTGAAAATAGATTTATGAACGTTTAGATTTTATATATGTATTAAATGTAAATAGACATGAACGAGTTTAGATTTTATTTATATATTAGATGTAAATAGATTTTTATATCGAAAATAAAAGACTGATACATTAAATTTTGTGTTTGTTTCCCTTTTGCTGAGGTCTTCAGTAATCGTCTTCATAAAACAAAGTGCACAGTTCACAGTTTGAAGTATTTAATTAAATGGTAGTAAGTAAAACGCAAATAATTGTAAGAGAGTTGATAAACAATTTTCCCTGCCACATGATATTGTTAAAATTAGACTACAGAAAATGTAGCTTCAATAGTAAATGTTTGTGGTATTTCTACAAATACCGTATTTTTTTTATTTCGAAAAGTAAAAATAACTAGACTATTTGACATAAATAACTGAATGCTAACATTTTTAATCGTGTGTAATATAAAACTCCAGATAAAAAGCACATTATCCTAAATCCTGGTCAACAATAATTACTTACAGTATAAATAAAGCATAATCAAGAGCCATAGTTTCTCTCTGAACTCGTTAAAATATACCATTTCAGCTATGCACCGTCTCAGAGGTCCTTTCGGCGCGTCCTCCCAAGCCATCAACTACATTAACTGGTAATTTGCAACTTCCTAGTCTGCATATGCAACCGCGTTCACGTTGCATGTTAGTTTTACCATGGCCTCGTCAATTTGCTTGGCTGCGTGAAGTCAATCATTATCTATGTTACATATATTTTTTTGGTGGGTTGCTTATAAACATTAAATTGGTGGCGTGCGTGTGTGTGTGTGTGTGTGTGTGTGTGTGTGGGTGTGTGTGTGTGTAATGTGTATGTGTGTGTGTGTTGTATTAGGTGCGCGTTGTGTGTGTGTATTAGGTGCGCGTGCGTGTGTGTGTGTGTGTGTGTATTACGTGGTGTGTGTGTGTGTTGTGTGCGTGCGTGGTGTGTGTGACGTGTGTGTATGTGTGTGCGTCGTGTGTGCATGTGTATTAGTGTGCGTGTGTGTGTGTTATTTTGTGTGCGTGTTGTGTGTGTGTGTATTATTAGTGTGTGCATGTGTAGTGTAGTGTGCGTGCATGCGTGTGTAGCAGTATGTGCCCATTCATTACAAAATGAGCTGGAAGTTCACGGGTGTATTTTCAGCAGGGTCACTAGGCGATTAGAGATAAGGTCAGCATTTAATTACACCCGTGACATCCGAAAATGAACCTTGTTTAACATGGTCTTATTGTGCGTCGCTATGGAATTTTGCCGTTTGAATCAATGACATTCGGCTAAATTTCATGAAAACTATCTTTTTTTTCAAGATTCAAATTAATTGATGAATTTTTATCGCCAGAGAGAAATCAATGTGCACTTTCCTCTAGGCATCTTAGTTGAGAATTTACTGTTTCAAACCAAGTTCTAGATTATTGTTTAATGTTTATACTCTCAACAATCTCAATCTCAATTATTATAACTATAGTGAATGAATTTTTGGTATATTCGAAGCAGGAACATTTCCAACATCAAATTTTTCGAACAAATCTTGTAGCTTGACATTTAGTACTTTATTATTCAACTCTAATTTTGTAAATGAACGAACTGAACCGTTCTAAAACTTTAGTTCACTCCTTCCATCTCTTAAATCTCTATATTCATGCTCCACATACGAATAAAAAAGACCCTAGAATCTATACTCCACATATGTATAAAAAAAAAGAGAATGTAAAAAGGACAGAATAAAAAGAGGCATTTTAATGAACAACTTTATTTTTTCGATCCCTTCATAACAAACATATCCTGTGCCCAACTTGCATGTTCGAGTCAAAAAGAAATAACTCTTGACGGATTATCGTTTTATTCTTCTTTTGTAAAACCTCAAATATAAATCAGCTGATATGTGAGAAACATGATCCTAAGTAATGTTATTCAACATGATATGCTAAGGAATTAAATAACAAATTAGAATAAAAAACAGGACCGTGAGAACTCAGGCGAAAGAGGGGAGAGAGAGAGAGAGAGAGAGGGAAAAAAGGAGGATACAACATTTTGGAAAATATATAGATTAAATATATATATATATATTATCTGGAATGATATATGTCGTTTACTAAGATATGGTTATCGCTTTTTCTTTTCTTTCTTTCTTTCCTTTCTTGGTGGAATATTAATAACAGGATATGGCGTGTGAGGGGAGTTTGTTGACGAGAGGGGGGAGGAGAAGGTGAGGCGAAGGGGGGCCCAGGAGGGAGATCCTGCAACCCGCCCACCCCAATCTTGGCCTTCCCCTGTGGTTACGACGAGAAGTTTCATGAAAACCCTAAACCAGCAATACATCCTCACTATAAAGGAGAAGGGAAAACGGGCATGAGGAGAGAGGGGGGGGGGAGACCGTATAAACCTGGGGATAACTGCCAATTCTTTTACTTCTTCTTCTTCTTCTTCTTCACACTCCAGACTCCTTACTTTTAACGATCCCCTCATTCCCCACAAAAAAATTTAAAATTTGAGATTTACATCTAAATGATGAAAGAGGAAGACAAAAAAACAAAAAACAAATCTATCACAAAACTACATCCTTAACCCCCACAACCACAAAAACTAATGGGGTTATGTGTGTACTGAACAACTCAATTTCTTTTTTTTTGCATGCAGCCAATACTCCTAAGAAAAGTCTTACAAGATAAAAGTCTTGTGCCTTATACGACAAATAAATTATACTGGGTACAAATAGATTCGTTTCATATGATAGTGCATCTTACCTCAACATTCTGCAAGGGTTGATTACAATCTAAATAGTTCACCTTTATTTCTCAGTTTGTACTGATTTTCTCCTCTCGTATCAGATCTGAAGGAAATAGAGTAAGTACAACTCATTCATAAAGAGTAAGCAACCACATTCACAAGTTCACTCAGTGACTCACCCCCTTCCCTTAGCTGAGTAATGGTAAGGGAGTGTAATTTGTACATCCGAAGTCCATATTAACTGCCCACGACAAGGTAATTACACTATTGCAATATTGAGAGCAAACTTCGAAACTTTTTTACAGTAATTTCTTCTGGAGATGTCCAACTTTTACAAGTAAAAGCTATGAATAACAATATAACTGGGGCTTACAACCTCAAACAATACATTTCTTTTTCCATTTTTTTTCTTAACCTCCTTTTATTAGTAACACACCGAGGACCAAAATCAAAATACAATCTCTAAATATGAGTTGCTTAGCTGTAGGTACTTAAAACAAAATAACTGGGGAAAATCAAATAAACATTTCCCTACTCTATAAGTGATATCATTTGGCTGCGATATGGTACAATAGTGGCAGGATATGTGAGCGCAGGGGCACAGGACATGTTGCTAAAGCACTTCTCAACTGAGGACCAAACCTGAAATCCTGATGGTGCTATCTATCGGATGGACTGACAGCCTTTGTTAGCCGTTACAATGCCTTGTCAACTAGTTACAACTGTACTGAACGAAAACTGTCCCTTATCAATGTAGTTCTGCTTGTGAGGGTTTTCCTACACAGAAAGCCCTTCCACCTCACCAACAATCTATTCAAGATGTGCACAAACTAGGGATCCTGTGAACAAATACCTGGATAGTACAAGGGACAAGGGCTGCAAATCTGTAGTAAGACTTCACACACAAGCTAGTTCTTACATTCACAGAATTTTCCATCTTTAGAATTGATAACTAATTTAATAATAACAATATACATGAATTGGATCAGGCCATGCTATCAAGGTACAATAAATGGTCTTGTCTTCAGATTCTCAATGCTCCAAATTAGCACCATCATTAATCCCTGTTTGAGATCAAGAGTTGAGGATACTTGCACAGTTGCTCATTTCTCAGCACACACACAAAGAGTAAAGTAAATGAGCAGTGTATAAATAAATTATGCAATCCATGTCTTCCCAATTTTTTTTTTTCTTTTTTTTCTTTTATAGGAATGTTACAAATCAAATCAAAGAGGGTCCTAATACAAACAAGCTAGCCGTGTGGGACGCCTACCATTTAAATGCCACATCTGTATCTCATTAATCAACAGAGGATAAAAGGAAGCCCTTTCACGCTACAATTCAAGGTCATTTACATCGCAACAAATGTAACCAAAGGAAAACTTACAACTCTTAATACTTGCCAACCTAGAGTACTGCATGTGCCACACGTTAACTGACAAAGAAAATAATGATAATGCATTCATTACTACACCGCCTTCTCGCACAACGACTGCGGTGGAAACCCATGTGGTCGAGGGCACTACTAGGTGGAGGTGGAAAGTGGTCACTAAGCTGATTGTTCCCACCTCCACCTGTGCCCCTCCACATATAAATAAATAGATGAAAAAAATATATATATTAAAAAAACAAACTAAAACACATGCTCGCTCTCAGTTAACATCCACATTTAACTGTCAACATCTTTAAGATTCGAAAGAGGATTACTTCATTTCTCCGAACTGAGAGATTTAGGTTCAAAAGGGAATATGCACTCAATTTCAGTGATCATCAAAATACAACGTGCATTTTAGAACAAACTAATTTCCCTAATGTCTTGTCACCCTTGAACGATTTCAACACATTCAGTTAATGCTCCATTGTTAAGTACCTCACATACACAAACAAACCTTTCGTATATCTACTGTTATGTTTGTTACTTGCAAGTAATGACCTTTAGAAATGTAACGCAAAGACATTCAAGAATGCTAAACTATCATGTGTTGAGTACGGTTTTAGATGTTTTCATATAAAACAATTCCTTTGAAGTAAAGAGAAACTTTACATGTCATATATAAAATTGGGACACAAAAATGGGGTTTTCCTCCCGCAGTAATATTTACAAGTAAATATTCTACACATAAAAAGTTTGCAAATCTACGGACCCCCTCTGATCTCCTAACTAAATTAAAAATATTCCAACCAATGCATACAGGGAAAAAAGGTGATAATTATATGCCTTTTTAATTAGGTATTCCATTGCATTATTTATCATGAACACATTATCTTTAACAATAACCTCCTGGACTTTCAACAAAAATAACCTAATACTGGTCTACATGTACTATGATCCGGACACGTTTGGTTAATGCGCAAAAAAAACAAAAATACATAATTCCTTCACATGTATCAATATTTGTTGATCTTAGTAATGCCTCAGCTTAAAGGAAGTGCAAGGTAAAAAGGGAGTTTTTTTCCACATTCAAAAGCCAGGAAGTCTTTTTAATAATCCTGTTTTGAGATCCCCCAACCCCCTAAAAAAAAAAAATTATGGATGAAGTCAAAATGTTCTTTTTTTATCAGGGGCTAAAAAGTGTCATCATGGCCAAGAAAACACTTGAAAAAGGACAATGGATATGAAACATTTAACCATGGATTACAACAACTATTCAAAAGACCAGCAAATAAACTAAAAAGCCAATTCTCATTCTTCATATTTCTTCCCCTCTCCATCTGACTTCGTACACACAACAGCAATTAAAACCTACATAATGTTATCTATACTTCTAAGGAGTGCACAAGAAGCAAAAACAATGAAAAATACCCCTCTGTAAATTAAAAGTAATGATATGTTTGCCAAACCCCAGCTCTTTCACTAACACAATGTCTACAAGTGTTCATTATTGCTCCACAGTAACTCCAATAGTACAAAGGCTGACACAGAAGGTGAAAAATCATTAAAAAAAAAAAAAAAAAAAAAAAAAAAAAAAAAAAAATCCAACCTCGAATCTGTGAATTTCTCAAAACAAAAATTTATAGATCACAACTGAAAATTATTTCTAATTGGTCTTCCTCAAAGTAACATCTACAAATGCCTATTCATGCTCCTATCAAGGCAAAATTCTTGAAAGGAAGAAGTGTTTTAAGATTTCTCAAGTAGTAGACTCCGATGACACTGACTGCCAGCCATCAAATAAATAACTCACAGTGGACAATGTCATCAAATATAAATACATATATATATATATGTATACATACATGCAAACATCCATAAAACACACCCAAACACAGTTATAGGTCTCTCATAAAGCATTCACCTGCAGATGTGTTCACTCGTATTCAAAACATGTATATATATAAATATATATTACAAATTTCAAACTATAGCTTGAGGGTGTGGTGGGGCCTTCCTACAAGAAGCGACGAGAAAATAATGGCAATGCAATAACAGTCTACAGTGATTACCAGAATACTGGATGTCTCTTATCATTCTTTATTTTTTATTTTTTTTATTTTACTTTTATCCTTTTTAACAGCTTTGCTGTCAAATTAGAAAAAGAAAAAAAAAAGAAATCACAAAATTGAATCATTTACCAGTAATCAATAAATTGGTATCGCATTAAGACGTGCTACTGCTAAGTGTGTATATATATATATATCAAATGAAAAAAAGAAATAATGAAATCTGTTACATCAGCTACATCTAGGCTCCATTAAGGTAATCAAGCAATGACTTGTATGCTCCATAACCACAATTCAAACATCAAATATGCAATCTAAGGAAAGCAAGTCAATCCACAAATTTTCAACTGATTCTTAAAGTCTTCTTTTAAAAGTGCCACAATAGCTGTGTTACATTAATCACACACAATTTGTGTTTCACCCACATTTTTTTCCTTAAATCTAGTTAAATGCTATTCTACTGTTAATGCCTAGATCAAATAGAAAAACGAAAAATACTGTGTTACAATTCTGTGAAAAAGTACTGTATATCTGCATCCTACATCATTTCAATCTTTGGTTACATCCAAATCATTTAAGAAATAAAATAAAAAACTGCAGAACTCCAACTTTCCCCTTGGTGAAAAAGTAGTGCCCAAATGCGGCACGAAGACCAACTGTCATAGAGAGAAACGCACAACATATAAACATCCACAAGCCCACAGATATCAGTTGCCTAAAAACTACATTCTTTTTCTTTTTAAATTAAGGGAAGAGAGTGAACTGGCAAGGGGTCATTCACAAACGTCTTGACTTTTTGTGTGTATCAAAAGTCAGACTATGGGCATACTGTTATGTATATACGGACTCTTTTACAGTGCTACAATCTCTATGACTACTATTGCATAGAGCCTGGAAGAAATTGAACTCACCTTCTAAATTATCAGGGCATCAGGGTCTGGGTTGCCCATTCTAAATGCTCAACTAATGCACACTAATAGCATTGAAGCAGGTGCAAGGTGCATCTCAGAGAGGCCATTAACAGCTCACAAATGCAGTGCAGTAAAATTGTCACAAAATAAGAATTATTGTCACTGCAAAACATAAAAAAAAAATTATGACAAAAAGAAAAAATATTTGAAATATTGTCACATGACAAGGTTTACATCCCAACATCAAAACCCAATGCAATCCCACTATAAATTCTTTTATACATTAGGCCAATAAATCATGGAATTAATTAACCTTGCAATAGCTATATGAACACGGTAATGCACCACTGGACAAATGCACTAAGCGGATATTTAACAATAAAGAGGTTATTACAAATTGGGCAACCCGGAGAACACCCATGACACCTGGACGAAATAGTTAATTGAACACTGCAAGGACACGCTACTGGATCTTCAGTGGACGTGATGCTACTGATACACAAAAACAGTTAGATCAAGCATTCCCAGGTCACAATTGGCCGTTTTGTGCTTTAAAATCCATACAAAAGAGGGACCTCTAATTTTTACCCCTGTAAATCATGGTAGCAAAATGCAAATATTTATAATTAACACAAAGAGACAGACTTTCTGGAAAGAATTGTAAAAAAAATTGTGCTTTGCACAGAAAAAAAGACTACACAAGTAGAAAAATGGACTATTTTCATGGCAAAGAAAAAAAAAAAATAATAGTAATAAAAAGAGAAAAAACAGCCAACTGGACCAAGCCAAAGCCTTATCACTGGAATCAAATTCCTGGGATTCACCATGACTTGAACTAAGCATTTTATTGCAATCTTTTTGTGATGGAGAAATAGTAATAGTAAAGCTAAAAATCCATGGGCAAGAATAGTTAACCACCCTGCAAAAAGTAAAAAATATAAAAAAAATAATTTTGTGCAGGTCTTCGTGTAATTCATTGCCACTAAAATGCCTAATCTTAAGGAGTTTCTTTGCTGGACCCTTTACCTCTTCTAGTGAGAGCAGTTAGTAACAGTAGGAGGGAGAGGGGGAAATCAAAATATAAATATCTCTACCCTGGGGTTTGGTAACTACATTCGGGAAGACTGGAGCTCCGTGAAGGGTCTCGGAGTAGTGCAGTTGCCTCTGAGCGTTGTCATACTAGAATGTAGCTGCACCATCTGCCACATGCTATTATCACATGAGCTATAAATTACTATTATATGGCACCCAAGCCCAGGCTGCTCTTTTTGAAAGTAAGTGATAATTTGTTACACAAAAAATGAACTAAAACATGCTCGGTTACAATTCTTGTCTTGGAAGCAATCGTATGTATTCTACGATGAGTACCACTGCGAAGTCTGCAGAACTCTGCATGTCTGAGTTCTAGACCGATTTCTCTGAACACCACCGGGATTATACCAGGCGATACAATTTTGTTCATCTCCTTCCTTTTTTTTTTCTTGTTTGCTACCTAAACTGTCACCCAAACAAAACTACCCCGTTGTAGATGATTGCTAAGTATTCCCATCCATTCTATGGCAAACAGTGATATTCAAAAGTTGCGGTCTTAGACTAGGAAATCCATGTGCTTATGATATGGACGGGGCATGCCTTGGACTCTACATTCACGCTTGCGCTGTATGGTAATATTTGAATCTATACGTACATGGCTGAGTAATGACAGCTTTGATAACACAATAACCAACCATTTTTCAACATTGGACAATGTTCCATAAACATAGTATCCTACTAATTTTATGCAAGTGCAATGCCCCTTCCAGCTATATACACATGAGTTCAAGGGTTATTAAACCCTTTACACATTTAAAAAATAATAATAAAAAAAAACAAATAAAAATAAAAACATTAATGGCAGTAAAAAATATGACTGCAGGAGCCTTAAACCTTAATTCATTAAAACCCCATGTCGCTGTGGCTTTGGATTTCCCGGCATTATCCATACAACACCTACATGCTCTCTGGTCAGTAATCATGGAGTTCAAAATGTACACTTTTTGACACAATAAACAAATGGAAAATTTTAAAAATCATACTGATTACATTCAGAATAATATGCTTTACAGCAAAGAAAGAATGAGCACGAATCAATAAATATCAGCACTCCACTGCTGAAACCCCATCACTACTCACCAGACTGCATGTAATAGTGATCAAAATTATGACTCGTTAAAGAGTTGTGCACCACACAAGTGCATTCCATACAAAATACACCAGTACACTTAAAAATTCAATATTACTTGATGTAATGAAAATGCAAGCTTAATGCTGCTGTCACAGAAGTTATCCCCATGCTTTGGAGCATGCACAAAGACATGAACCTACCATGCACTGACTCAGCATGCAACAAACGCATGTGGTACACAAGCCAACATCTATGGGAGGCATGAGGTACATTTCAGCAGGTACATGATTCCATCTTCCTTAAACATTCAACGTGTGACCATTTTAATGGTTCTACAGAGAATGGTAAATTTCACAGATCGTGCAAAGGGTGAAAGTATCAACTGAATTCACCCAGAAGTATTATTGTGAAAAAATAAATAAATGAAATAAAGACAATTCAATTGTTGGTTTCCAAAATATAACAAGAGGTGGTGAACCTCAAAGTGGAAATCTTAAAATTTAAAGCTAGTAATTAAGTGCAAGTTCATGATACTACACAATCGCTAGAAAATCCATAGTTATGGTCAATATTTACACACACATTTTATCATGTGCAATTAATTTGGGCCATTATCAAATAAAAAAAATCCATCGTACCATAAAAACAAAATATAAAATCTGTGAAAGTTCCAAACCAGTCAAAGAAAAGAAGAAAAAAAAAAGTCAGCTTAAAATGGTCATCTATCAATTAAAATTAACCACAATGAAGAGGATCCATCGACGAGTTCTTCTGCAAATGAGCCCACTTTTAAGACCAGACTCTTCTTCTTGCATGATGATGTTGTGAACCTTGAGGCAGACTAGGTAAGGAGAGATGTTAAGCGAAGTACATGACTCTGTTTGTGTCGACATGCACTGTAACTGCCCTTGCCATGGCAGATGGTGTGCGATCCTCACTGTTGCCAGATTGGTGTGACCCCTCTCCACTGAAAACACAAGGATCATAATCATTAGAAAAATGTAAACAGAAAAGAGTAACTTCAAAGGGAAAAAAAAAGGAAAAAATACAAGCCTTAAGATAACAAAAGTCACATTACACACAATTGCATCGATATTAGGTATTTTGGTTGCAGCACAGGAACACATTGCATTAGAGAAAAAGAAGTACTCGAACATGAAACTCACCTGTCATGCTCCTTTTCGACGAGATGATAACGAGCCCTGAAGGCTACCAGGTGAGCATAATAGGCTGGAGCAGGTATGGAGACTGATCGTGTACATCTTACATAGGTATGACACAACTGGTAGGTCAGGCACTGCAGCTCATCACTGTCAAAGTGGTTATCATCCCACAGAACATGGTAGTGACTGGGACGACTTGTGCCCTGGAAGAAAAATCACCTCATTGTTTGCATATGCACATCATTTAAAGCCCTAAGATATTTAAGATTAACAGGATAGTATACAATAGTACTAAAGCTATTATAGAGGCAAAAAGTATCTACCTTTTTGTGAATCTATCAAAATCAACATTTCACATGGAATATCATGAGGTAATATGTAAACCAACTACATAAGGATGAACAACACAAGCAGTATCCAAATCTACACACCTGGATGCCCTGATGAGAGCAGAGGTAGAAGTCAAACTCAGTTGGATGCGTGATGCCCACATCAACAGTTGTACCTGCAGGAATATTACCACTCTTGCCACTCTGTTCTTTCTTGTCAGAACAGAACAATCTGGAAAAAAATTACTCTTTAGCACTTCCATTACTTTGTGACAAACAACAGGAGCATAAAACATTTGAGTTCCTATATGTTGCAACCATCATGGTGTCTTCACTATGAAAGGCAATGATTTCCCAGCAGCAACACCTCTGTACTACATAGCCAAAATCAAAATCAGCTGCTAAGTTCATAACACTGTTCCCAAACACACTCACCTTGTATGATGTCTCTTCTGCACAGCAATGTACGTGATGCCAGGCTTGTAGTCCGCTTCCAACTTTATGCAAGCCTCTCTCATGGCAGTCAGCTCATGCTGGAGCACAGTCTGGAATTGTCCTTCGCTCACACCATCCCGATAAAGGATGATCCTGTTGGGCTTGAACCGCGTAGACTTGTAGAACTGGATGAGCAACTCCTTCACCATAGAAGAGAGTTCCTGGATCACCTCCTGTTATTTGGAAAGAACAGTTAATGATGGGTCAACTTCCACCAACAACATATGCTTCTCCACAACAAGCACAGGAGTCACAAATCCCTGTCATGGTTTTAAGGAGATGAAATTACTGGATTTCATTATCATCAGTTTTATTCTTTAATCCTAAACTCAGTGTTAAAAATGGTTGATGAGATGTTTTAAAAAGGAGGAGGTGACTCAATTTAATAAATACTACACATGGCAAATCACTGAGGATGATGATATTCATTTATGAGACTCCCAAAGGAGAGGGAGAGTAAACACACAAAAAAACAGGGGAATACTCTGCCACCGCTTTCAGTAAGGACAATATCTGAGCCTACACACTGGTCTGAGCAAGATAAGTACTTCCATTAAGCAACTGATAACACAGACTGGGAGGGGTCAAAGCTTGACTTGTGCTGTATTCTGGTTTTGCCGACAGGATATAACTTATCACTGACATTTACACATTACAAGTGCCACCAAGATCCATGTGATCTGCAATGTGAAAATAAATGGGAAACTCTTGAGAGGTAAAAATTATCATTTGTTACCAATGGTTCAAAAAAGGAAAAATACTTGCGTCATGTGCCGTCCTCGCGAAAGTCAGTTGTCTGGGTCGCGAGCCGTCACTGGCACTTTGGCCTTGTGTTGTTGATCCATTCTGTTAATGGCAAATTCAACGCTTATTGATTGTATTTGGTACTGACTGACTTTTTTTTTCTTTTAATAGCAAAGATTTTTTTCCCACAAGTTAGGTATGTGCCACTCAACTTTAACCTTAACATAAAATTAGTTGGGAATATGCCATGATTTGACAACACAAGGGGACTCAAGTACACATATCTTCACTGTCACCTCACAAAGTTACAGCTGGACTGGCCGTTAACCCTCACAGGATCCACTCAAATGAGCAGCCTTTTGCGACAATCCATCAAGAGACATTTATACTCAAAATCTCAATGAGCTTTTAACCTTTAAGAACTATTGGTTTACTCATTCTTTCACTGAATAGCAATCCCCTCATCAGTAGCAAATTAATGTAAGGGACATCAAGGGAAAAGCTACAACAGGGAGGAGAGGAAGGCGTCATTTGAACCCTATTACCAAATACATCATAGCGAGAACATGAGGCTAATCTGTTACTGTAGTATTTTAATCCGATTTTTGGTTTCATCTTTTTTTTTTTTTTTTTTTTTTTTTTTTTCATCATCTTCACTTCTGAATTATTCACTCTTAGCAATAGAAACATCATCACATTGCAAAATCTGTATTCTTTTCTCTCTCTCTTTTTTTATTTTATTTATTTATTTATTTTTTTTTTAAGTGTGGCTTCTTTTTTCACTTAATCCGCATTACCATTCACTAAACATAACTACCCACACATCACTTTGAAAAAGGTTGTGTTGATTTGAGTCTATCACCAATCTTTCTTTCCTTCACTTTTAAATAGTTCAGTGAATGCTAGGCATGGCGCACGATGACAAAAAATCTCATCTACTTAAAAAAAGGGAGCTTCATTTGGGAAATTTAGCAACACTTCTCTTTAAATCCCCAAACATCAAAAGACTGGGAAGATATGACTGAAATAGTCTGATGATAGTGCATGTGTAAAAGCAATGATAAAAAATCTTCATTATATCCTCATGTGGCAAATCCAGAAGACAGACACAATTCAACCCACCTTTATTTATATCAAAGACATACACACTCCGCACATTGCTATTCAAAACAAACTTTTAGCTCCTTAAGGTTTCTCAAAGAAGGGATATATATATACCTTTCCATCCCTTGTAACACAAATGGAGAGACTTTAAGCATTTGAATGAGAAAAAAAAAAAAAAAAAAAAACTCCCGATGATGCCTTTTAAGCGTATACTTGATCAAGAACTTACTGTAAAGCACTTTTCTTATTCACCTTTTCTGAAAGTTTACAATGAATGTGGAGCAAAATACTGAAATCCTTTTTGTGCTCTTAGAACTCTTTTTCTAATTACAAAGATGATTCCATCTCTCAGGAATATTCTAACTACTTATGGAATGGAATGAAATGAAAAAGAGAGTTTGTTAATTCCGTTTGGACTGAGTGAATGTTTTCCTTCAACAATCCTCTTGTTAGTATATCAACAGCTACTCCTTTCAAACCAAAAAACATCATGCAAATTCATCTTCCCTATAAATAAATAAAATAAAATTTATATATATATATAATATATATATACAAACAGATAAATAAACAAACAAATAAATAAACAACTTTTAAAAACATTTACATCTACACTTCATATGCTCATCACCCTAGAGAGGGAGAAATTGTAAGAAAATTCTTTTTGTCTTGTGAACATATCTATTCCCACTCACATCTTTCTCGGTAAATTCATCTTTTTTACTTTTCAAATCTCTAATCCCCACATTTCTTAAGACTTGTGTAGCCAATGTCAGGTAAGGAACGGAAAATATGTCAAATATAGATATACATAAATAAAAACACCAAAATTACAAAAAGCACAAACAATTAAAAAGTAAAGAATGACAGCTGCAAATAAAATATGCAATCAATCTTCAGACAAACAATAAATTTATGGATGTACTGATCAATGTGATTTCTATGAAAATAATTGCAAGGAGGACAAGACTCCTTCTGAACAAGTTGAAAAGGGTTTCCATAAAGCAGGGGAATAAATTGATAGGCCATTTATTTGACACAAGTACTATATGCCAGTGCTTATGACTTCCAACCGGGGGGCTCTTTTATACTTGGAAGGGGGGGGGAAAAAAAAGCACACAATTGTCTCTACAATTTTTGCCAATACCTCCTATTGAACAAGGATAATTGAACTACAAAGTGCTGTGCCTATTTAGCATCTCTCTACCTTCTTTATGCCTACAAAATACCAAACAAATACAAATATCTATTGTAGTTTATCTGCTGTTGGTATCTCCCTACTGTATTTTCAAACCTATCACTATTCAAGACAACAGCAATACAAGGGCTGTGGAGACAACACCATTTATGCAACAAAATACTCAATAGATTAATCACATGAACATAATGACAATAGACACCAATTAACCAACATCATGAGGCATAGGCATAGTAAAAATCTATCTGAGAGGAGGCAGGACCTTATCTTTTGAATATCAAAGCTTTAGCGAGACATTTCCAAGAGTGTACAACCACAAACAAGTATAGATGGAAATGAAATAATCAGATATACTGATATCACTATAATACAAGTATGAAATCTGAAATTACTTTTCATTTCAAAACTTTATAATTGCCCAAGAATAAATTCTGAAAGCACTGCCTAACTGCTTGTTGATGTATCTTTCTGTGTGTTGTCTGATAAAGTCATAAGGAAGTGAAAAATGTAACAAGCGACTCAGAAAAACAACCCTAATGCATAAAAACCTGAATATGCAGCAAACAAATAACCAAAAGAAAACAAACATACGTAAAACCAACACAATTTCATCGAAATCATAAATAACCCTCCATGAAAACCCAATATAAAAAATATAAAATAAATAAAAACGTAAATAGAAACAGGAAGTGTTAATATCATCTATAAGTAAAACTGGCATGACCCAAATGTCAAGATACATAATCAACTGCAAGAACAAAACAAACAAAAACAAATGCACTGCCTACCTGTCTGTGCTGCTGGACCCGGACAGTTGCAGCATAGCGTGATGGATGAGCATCCATAGATCCTACTACGGCTGCAATGGACGGCTTCTTATTATCACCCGCTGGTGGATGAGTTACATCAGCACCCAGGAAGATCACAGGCTCATTGAACACTTTTGGTCTGAAACAGGAATAATTACATTAAATTTCGCCTTACTACTGTTGCAAACAGCCGACAAACTCACCATCCAAGTGTAACAAGTAATACATATTTATTATATTCAAGAGAAGAGTATAAAGATTTCAAAATCAAATATGAGCACCACAAGACCTTTCTTTTAATCACAATACGGTACCTGATGCCTGGAACAAGAATGGAGTTGATGCCTCCCAACTTCACGTTTATTTTGAGACAGAGGTTGGACAGTGTTTGCGGTGAGGTTTTGTTCACATTCTTGGCCTGGACACATTGGGTAGCCATTCCCAAGACAGTGTCACCCACACGCTTCACTTCAGCTGTTGCAAAAAGAAAAGAAAGAGGAAATTAAGTCACTGTTGAGCAGGGCTATGCAGCACAAGAGAGGAGCTTACGTATTTGTTCAGTGTATTGTGCAGATATCATTTTTACTTACATCCATGCGCTCTGCACCACCCTCTAACCAAGTGCAAGTATTAAAATAAAGGAAGTGGTTAGGGTAAGGCATGGCACTAAAACACTTGATTTGATAGGAACTGTAATTCTGGACCAAACAAACAGAAAAAGGAAAATCCACTAAAGATATCTAATCTGATTGAAGAATCCCCCAAGAACCGTGAAATATCCAGTCTTCTCTTCTTAACCTATTACTAATATCTACTGTATTTCATAAGGTCATGACAATACCAATGTATACTAGTGAAACATCCTCAGCACCTTACCATAGACAGGAGTTTTGCCTGGTAGAACAACACAAACAAGCTGCAGACCGGTGAATGTGCTCTTCAGGTAACGGAACATGGGCTCTACCTGGTCAGGACCGTTGGCATACTTGCAGAAGCACGGCTGGCCAATGATGGGCATGCCTGGAGGGAATCACGTCAAATGGATCTTTCGGTGGAAGACACTTTTAGCCATCAAAGAGGCTGTTGTAAAACTACTTGGGGTGGGGGGAGGGAATGACTTTGGAGTAAAAATCTTGGAGCAATGGACCATCTAGCCTCATAAAATTTCTAAAATAAACTTAAGAACAGCAAGAAATAAAGAAAAGGAGAGGACTGAACTGCAGCCAATACTGGGAAAACTAAGATTTCTTACGCAAATAGATTACAAACAGCCTCTCACACTCAGAATGTTGTCTGTATATATAAAAAAAAGTAAAAAAAAAATAAGAGTCGCTCAATGAGGATGATGAGAGTTGTGCTGCCTTGTAGAATCTTCTCACTGAGTGGAAATCCAAGTGCGGGCCGCCGCGTGCTTCGCCCCACAGCGCATAGTGAAGCAGTGTCTTTGCAGTCTTTGAGAGAGCTTTTCCTTGTAAAGATCTTGAGAGGCAATGCCAAGGCATGTCTTATAACCTCTGTACTATGTTCAAAGGAAAGTCAATCAAACTGAACAAGAATTTAAAGAAAGAGAAAGAAAAAACACAGGAAAACTGAATGTATGCATTCCCCTTTACCCTCACACAAGAAATGAATAAATCAAAATAAAATAAAAGTACAGTAAAGAAATACAAAAGGAATAAGTTGTCTGTAACCTCTCTGATGACGTAACGAAGAAATGGGTTCTATAAACTATTTGCAAAGACCTACTCAACACAGACTTGATTGCTCTTCCTCCCACCCTTACAACTTACCAGCATCATTACTAATCTTTTGTAGTTGCTGTGTAAAATTGCGCAGCGCATCTTCTCTCACTGTGCGCTGTGGGGCGAAGCATGCAACGGCCCACACGCGGATTTCTACCCCTGTGAAGAACTGTTTCCCTCTCATGTCCCACACCCCCTGGTTGGGCAGAGCTTGCTGCTTTGTTCGCCCTCCATATTGGAGCTTTGGGGGTGGGAGTACGCGACCTCGGACCTGGAGGAATAGAAAACATGTTCTCCCATTAGACACACATCATCCACTTCAAAGAGAAACAATATACATGTGGTTCATGAGTGGCAAGTAAGCAATAAGGGCAATATGGCAAAATTATCTCAAGACAGCAATGCTACATAAAAAGAATAAGAACAATAATAATAAAAATAAACAAATCTGTGTACAATCATTAAAAGGACATACAAAAACAAGCACTTAAAGAAAATGCTGCCATGTTTCGGATGAACAATGGCCACACAGAACTCGGAAATAAGGCAAATGACGTATCACGTGTCTTACCTTACACTTTGCTTTCCTTGATAATATGAATAAATTTCAATTTATCATATAGAGATCTTCATATACGTGATACTTGTTCAGAGTAAGAGTGAGAGAAGGAGGGAGGGGAGGGAGGGAAGGAGGGAGAGAGAGAGAAAGAAAGAAAAAATAATGAACAGCCAGAGAAACAGATAGAAAGAAAAGTGAGAGAAGGTACAGAAAAGAAACCCACTGTGGCATTTCTTACCAGAAATATATACACTTTTTCTTCTTTACAACATCCACTTCTTTTGAAAGATTACATTCTCTAACACTAATAGGAAGTAGTGAGAAGTAACAACCCCCTGCAACCGGCTTACCTCCATCATAGCTGTACTGATCGTCAGACCAAATTCTTGCATGTACGGGTCATTGTTAAAGTCTGCCTTTCGGACCAGATTGTTGATCTCTCTCTCCCTATCAGGTGCAGATCTAGCTGTTGCCTTGATCATGGTAGATGTCTGCATGTCTGTTAGTTTCTTGATGCATCGTTGTCCAGGTACTATGTTGCATACTTCCAGAGGAAGGTATGTGTGTTTGTGTTCTTGTCCCACCTAAAGAAATATAAAAAAAAAAGCTCTTTCTGTTAAATAACACTGCTGTAATTACTTGAAGACTAGAAGTTAGAATAATGCTTAAATATTTTAATAACAAAAAACTAGCTATGATAACTGTAACAAGAATAACTTAAGTAATAAAATGTCAACAACCAAAACTGGAATAATATCAAATGTATTCATAACGACAAAAGGGTTACAGACTATCTAGGCAGAGTTTTACATCTCCACCTAGCATTTTGCACAAAACTGGAACTCACCTGAAGGCAAGGTAGATGGGGGAACCTGAGTTTCATTTTGTATTTGTCAAGGAAATATTTTGCAACAGTACATTCCACAGTCTGACCATTCTCTAGCTGCAATGGGAACCTGAAGAAAGCAGAATTGAATTAATTAAAAGAATGTCTATTTTAAGATCTGAAAATGCCCCTACTGAAGGAATGTGAAACTCCAACATTATTTAGAAGTGAATACCGTAATCTTGTCATATCTTTTGAGTGTTCTTGTTTAACCCATTAACGCCAGTATATTTTGAAGGAAAAAAGAAAATCGGGCGGCTACAAAATCAGCAGGCGGAGCTTCCCTGGAGTCTGTCCGCCTGCCGGCCATGGCCCACTGCTGTGTTGTACGTGAGCCCCAATACAGCGTTACATTGGCGGGACGCCCGGCAGTGTTTATTTTTTGGGGGTGTCTCATATGTTGGATACCCGTCGTTATTGGGTTAACAGGGGGAGGGGGGTCCAAAACAAGAATTCTCAAAAAGATTGATATCCTGCTGATAACATTCATATACAATATTTGGCCAAAAGTGTACATTTCTTATCAAGACAAAGGGAAAGCCAAGCATTCAAGGTCATATCTTTACAAAATTGCTTCCCGAGACATGCAACAAATCTCCGACACTTCCTCAAATAGAGGTCAAGGGATCTTAGATCTTTTGGCAAAACATTTTTTCATGTTTTCTTTAAGGGAGGGAGGTGACAAGCATGTGAATACACAAACAATACACAGGGTAAGAAATTTAATATAAAATCAACAATAAAGTAGTAAGAAACAAGAAAATATTTTACTATCTTAAACTTGAAAATGAAAGCAGTTGCTTTAACAAAAAGACCTTAAATAAATATGAAGCACATTCAGTTTGTCATTAAACTATCCTTTCCATGGTTTCAGATGCAGCACTAAATATATAACACAAGCAAGCAAAAAAGCGCACAACTTACGACTGCATCTGTGCTGGTCTTCTTGTGACATTGCACACCCTGTACTTTCTTCGCATCGCACCACAGTGTGTGATCTCAATCTGAAGAGTAAAAAGGATACTTGTTCACAAATCCATGTACCGTCTTCCAAAGGCAAGTAAGTGTACAATATTCTCGAATCAATATAATTTCAAACTTCGAGATCATGAAAAAAGTATATATTCAAAAAACAGTAAATGAATAGTATAAAATTTATGTACATAAAAATTACCTTCAGACCCTTAATTTCCTTTGTGAACTTGACACGCTGGGAATCCGTTAGAGGTTTCCTCTGCTCACCTATTTCTCGAATATCTAACACTTCACACATAAATTCTATTACTGCCTGGGCCTTGTAAAATGCTGTAGCTGACACTGTAGAAAAAAGGGATAATTTGTTTAATTCATAACTTTAACATCTATAGCAGTAAGTAAACAAAACATGATATCTTCTCTCAGAGAATAATTCCTCAAAATACTTCTCACTACACATAAAGAAGCAGAATCCTTACCGTCAATGTTTAGCATCATCTTCCACTGTGAAGGTCTTACACTTTGGTGGAAGCCAAACCACACTTCCCTTCCACCTCCCAAGGGGTGATAATAGCCATCTGGAGCGGAGAAGAAGGACCTGCCCACTGGGGTGTACGTCATGGATGGCAAATGACGCATCACGACATCTAGTGCCTGATGGAACAAAAGTCATCCAAATCATGATAAAAGCCAGAACTGTACGGGTTGTTTATAGGACTGACAAGAATGATAATACTTTTAATAGTTAAACCACACAAATTACACTGATTTATGCATCTAAACCCACCTGTATTGCATCATAAGGAATGGTTCTTGTCCGTCCTTCCAATGCTTCTTCTAACGTATATAGATTTACTTGTGCTAACCATTTCATCGCTACCTTGAACACCCTGTCACGTCCTTCCCCTGGTAACGTTACCTGCGAAAAATAAATAGGCAATGAGTAACAAATTACTCAAACTAAATCACAGAAAGCTCAACATTAAGGATTATTTATTTCAACAGAATATATCATGAGATTAAAACAATCATTATTCCTCACCTCTAGCTCCATTTTTTCATTACCAATGGGCAGGGGATCTCTGGTGTATAAATTGCTTCTCCCATCGAAGACAGGCTATGAAACAAAAAACCTTATTATATATCATGAAAATGTTTGAGGCTATGAAACAAAAAACCTTATTATATATCATGAAAATGTTTGAGGCATACAATATTTAACAATCTATAAATATACATGCTAGCAATCAGTAAATTAATAAATAAATACATTACAAATCACACTCAAAACCATGAAAGAACATAAAAATATAGAATCAAAAATATTCCCACACATACCTTTAGAGTGCCAAAAATTCTAGGGAAAGCATGGACCATCGTCTCAATAATTTCCCGATTAACCTTGCGCGGGCATTTGTCAGGGGTAATACTAATATCATAGTGGTGAATGTAACCTCTTGGCATAGAGATCTGGAAGTGATTGGCCCGCAACGTGATAGGTCGACCTTCTCGCCCGAGATTCGGTCTTCTTGGTGCTACAAAAGCTGGTGTGTCAAAAGAAAAGAACAGAGAATCAGATGTAAGTAAATTCTACCTGGAGTACAATAGAGGGCTGTAATTCTACCTGGAGTACTATAGAGGGCTGTAATGAATAAGTTAGGGGGGGGGGAAGTGGCTCACTAGTACAATTGACATAAACCCTGACTGTAAATCTCAGACATGGTCCTTTACCCCAATGGTGACCAAAATTTAGCTGTGCCAAACTGAACCATGTACCAGGTTGTGTATGCAGTCATCTGCTCAAGTGCAAAATACATGGAACACATGTTTATCCCACTTTGAGCAGGCTGACCATATGTGATGTGGACCCTTGCCACCAAACATCTAGGTTCAGTTTATTCAGGCAAGAATGGATAACAAACACCAACAAAGCCTTAACCAAAGAGATCCTTACAACTCGTCCTTCACCTGAACAAAATAAATCTGAACATGAAAGACTCTCAAGGCATTTCCTGTTGCTTTCCTCCTCCTGGGAGAACCCCAAGGAAAACCATACTTCAATACTTACTAGGTAGTTCTGGCGGTAGGAGGGCAGTCATGCCTGTCCCTGTTGCAACAGCTGGCGTACCAGGGGCTTGCGGTACAATGGTAGTGATGGGGCCAGGGACCGGCGTCGGTCCCGGCGGTAGGTTCAAGGGTCGGGGCACTGGGGGGCCAGCTGGTCCTGGGGGTCCACCCGGACCCGAGGGACCGGGTGGGCCAGGAGGACCAGGTGCTGCAAGAGAAAATATCAATGTAATTTCTTTCTATGCAAAATGTCTTCATGTGCTACACTGGCTTTAAAAGCTGTTTTATCATAAAAAAAAAAAAAAGTAGAAGAAAAAAGCCTGTGCCCCCCATAAATTCTCTCCAAATTCTTGGAAAACAAAAACGTGCATGCTACAACCTCATTCCTCCATATTTGCTGGCTTTGATGATAAACAGGAATGCATTGTTTTACTTTATTTTTTAATCCTATAATTTATCTTCAATAAATTTCAATTCAGGTTGTAGTAAATTACATAAAAAACATCAAAATAATACTTTTATATATTATATATATATATATATATATATATATATATATATATTATATATATAATATATATATAATATATATATATAGGTATCTATCTGACCAATAAACAATAAAATCTACAATATAACTAAATCATTTTCATTGACAAGATCATCCATTTTCCTGAAAGTGCACTACTCTGACCTTCAAATAATTTCCAACCTGAATCCCTGAAAAGAATTTGTCCCCGGCTTCTGGGCAGTAATCAATGCACTCCAGAAGCACAAGCTGTACTCACACAACCTAGCTACCACACCCAGCTATTCCTCCCCACTTAAATAAACAAGAATAATGCTTGCCCACAACAGCCTTGCCACAACACCACACCCAGCTCCCCACTTAAAATAAACAACCTGCCACACCCAACACAACAATAAGTGCTTGCACACCCAGCCTGTAATTTTTTCCCCAAACCCAGCTCTTCCTCCCCACTTAAAATAAACAACAATAAGTGCTTGCCACAACACCACACCCAGCTGTTCCTCCCCATTCAAAATAAATGTAAACAGGTAACTTAGTTCTGGAACCTTTCCATGCAAAATAAACACTTGCCAGCCATGTTAGCCAAATGAGATCCCGGCCATACCTCCTCACGCAGTAATGATAATGGGATTAAAGAGTAGAGGTTTTCATGTAGATCTCTAATGCTTAAAAAGAAAAAAAAATGCATAACCTTTTTACAAAGGTCTTAAAAATATAGCTATTTGACAGGATTCCTGGTACATACCAATTCACCTTCAATTTTTTTTTCTTCAATTCTAAAAAAAATTCTGTTCTTTGAGCAAAACTAAAAAGAAACTTTAAGAAATGCTAGTGAATCCTCAAACAGCTGTCAGAATAAATTAATTCAAGTGAACTGAAGACTGCTACATAAATTTTCCAGCACACACATTAAGAATATACTTTGACAAAAAAAAAGAAAAACAGCATTAAAATCTGAGCAAGATGGTCAATATCACCAATAGTTACCCAGGACTTTTTGCTGTCACACCCAAGATCACTTTCATGATTACTGGTTAAATCAATGATCTGACCAAATGTAGCAGATTTTATATCCACAATGTGAGCTTTCTTCTCTATTTGCACCTTCCATGATACTGCTCAATAATTTTTTTAGAAAAAAAAAAAAAAAAAAGTTAAATATAATCTGATACTTTTATAATCAACCATTTCCTTGACACTTTCATTAACCAAATTGATGCAAAATTACACTAAATTGCAATGCACTATATTGCACACCAACTATCAGTATTTGGCAAGAATTGCTAACTTTGCTTGGAAATTCTTTAAGAAATCATAACTTATAAAAGAGGCTTCCAGTTAATTTGATTTCAAATAATTAAGCAGATCTATAGCATTACATGTATGAATACCTATACATGTGGCTTATCATATCTTAATTATAGTAGTTACTCTTTTTATGCAATTCCTGATTACTACTGGTCTTGAAAAAGTAAAAGGTCATCCCTAATTCTTTCATGGCCCTTAATTTGAAATGACAGTTATGCTTTAAAATGACATGTTAAATCAAACTAATATGATGGCAATATAAACTGCATTCTCTTAATGAATTAGAGGTACACCCATAAATTTGTTTATTCCTATTTGTATGTTCTTGTTTTATTACCAGACTTACTTCTGCCATTCACAGAAAATCTAGCCAATAAAATGCAGTGACAAACTATAAATTAAATATGCTTATCAATATAATAAAACCTACTCCTAGGCCTACTTTTGCAAAAGTATTACTTATACTCTCCACAATATGAGTAAATCCAAATACATCCAATTCTTACAAAAATCAAGAATTGCAAGCTGAAGTTTTTAACTACGAAAAAAAAAAAAAAACATTACAAACATATACATGATTTAGGAAGCAGATCTACTGAGAAATACAGAAAAATTTAGTTTGGATAAGTGACAGAAGCCCTTATACACCAGGATGTCGGTTACTAGACCTACCTGACCTCACTTATCTAACCCATACCTCACCCGTTCACCCCAAAATGAGACCAAACAATTCCTCTAAACTTCGACAGCACAAGTTTACTAACCTCAAGATCTACCAGTCTTAAACTAGCAACTTCAATTTATTTTATCAATTAAATTCTTTGCTCTTCCTCTTTGCTCAAAAGGAAAAATCCACACAACCAGTTCATCGCTAGCTTTCTATATCGCACTGTGTCAGCATAGGCCAGGAAACTTTTAAAATTTATTATGACAATACAAGCCTATCCGTCTCCAAGACGATTTTCAGTTGCATAAGCAATCATCAAAAGCTCAATTCCATAAGCAAAAACCCCTTGGATGTTTACTGTCCTTACTCGAGCATGAAATATGTATACTAATAATGGATGGTGTTGAGCACGGCCTGCACTCACCGCAATGATTACCATTAACCCCATTAACGTACGTACATCTTGGCAAGCCTGAGCCGAGTCTAGGTCCGTCAGGGAGGTCTACGAGCCCTCCCAACCTGCCAGAATCTGTGGTGGAGGTGTATTGGTCTTTGCCAGAGAGCTGACAGGTGTGGAGGCTGAAGTAATGGGTGTCAGGCCAGTGGCAGTCATTCCGGCGTCACGTAAATCTCCCCGTTGGCTTAAAACAGCTTGCGGCCAACCCAGATAGTAATAAATGCTCGGGAGGTGAACGTGAAATTCGCAAATTGTAAATTACCATCCGACGGCAATCCATTCCCCCCAAATATTCCTTCGAATAAACCTCCGACATTAAAATAAAAAAATAGCAATAAAAATGGAACTTCTAAAATATATTTTAAAACCCACACCCTCCCCCCCTCGAAAAAAAAAATTAAAAAAACGCCCCGAAATTAAAAACCCAGAATTAGAGGAATTAAAAAAAAAAAACATACCACACTCCACAGACTTGGAAGAAAATAATAAAAATAAATGAATTAAAGAAAAAAAAAATAGTGAAGACGAGTCCGCGCGAGGATCTTGACCCCGTGAACTTTCTAAAACCCGGACCCTAAAATCCCTTATTTCCCCCAAAACCACCTCTCCCGGGGCCCTTTCTCCCCTTTCTCGGGGTTCGCGGGCATCTAGCAACGAAGGAGGAAGGGGAAAAGGCGAGGAAAAGGAAGAGGAAGAGACGGAGAGGACTTAAAAAAAACGGGAAAAAACAAGGTCAACGTCAAACTCGTTCTGGGGTGTCAAGTGTTCCCCATCTTCCTCCATTTTCCCGCTTATTTCCCACCAAAATCGCCCTTTTCGCGACACAGGACCCTCCACGAGATACTCACGCTGCCCAACAGGGTACATGAACTCTACAATAGTTGCTAATTGAAGGAGGAAATGGATTAAATTCTCAGCACTTGAAAATGGCGTTCTATGGGACTTCCTGTGTAAGACTGAGGCGCTGGTTCTTTTCTCGCTTCTAAGGTCGATTTTCCGGAGCGGTCGCCGTCTATGCTCGTTTTGGGGGTTTTATTACTTTATTCATTTTAAGATACTTGGGGATTTGTTGGTAATGGATGGGTTTGGGGTCGAGGAAGGAAAATTAGACGTGAGTGTGGTGTGTTAGGATTTTTTTTTTTTTTTTTTGGTTTCGAATCGTTACTTCTTTCGTTTCTTCAAAAGATTTATATATGAAAAAACGGATATGAAAATGATATTCAATTCCAGCATTAAAATAGGATAATCGATCGTATCCCACATTTCGTCTATCTTATTTCTTCTTTTTTTTTTACATTAAAGCTACCTCGAGTAACAAAGGATCTCCACAATGAAAATCTTCCAAAGCGCTTATGGCCATTCAATAAATGTTAAATACCGAG